ACTGAAACTTATCTAAAAGGCTTTGCTGATATGTAAATGAGCATCAGTGATGATGTCATGTGATTTTTCAAGAAGGTTTAGGCGGTGTTTTTTTCAAATATTTTGAAAATAATAAATTTATGCATTTTAGTTGATAAAGATCATGTTAAATAACAGTTGGAGATGAAATTTTGTGAAATAAAACTTCAGAGAACCTCCTATGAAATGATGGCAAGCTCATGTATATCGCTTGCAGTATTGAAAAGTTATTTACATTCTATTTCCGAACGGATTTTTGGAACACCGTGCATAACACAAAACATTTTATAAAAGAAAAAATTTTCTCGAGAAAACGTGGACAAGTGTCTCCTCAGGTGTTTTCCGCCGGATGTTTTTTTCAATAAACGTTTTCTCTTAAGAGTAATTTTCTGCGTTATACAGAATTATTTCACAGCAAAAGAAGTTCATTGCAGTATAGGAAAGTCATATGTCTGCTTGCCATACGAAAAATGCATATTGTGTCTGCGGAGAAGAGTAGAAGATGTGCAGAGTGTGTGCATATTTATACTCTTCTGGATGGCTATAGCTACAGAGTTCTAAATTGTGATAGAGAGAATTCTGCAGGCGCTCAAACTTACTTGGATGTGTCCCGTTGTGCAGTGGGATCACTTTATGTGTATGCGGACAATATTTCTGTGCACTGAATATTAGAGTCAGATTGAGAAATGATGTGGCAGTTGAACTGCTATACAACAGATGATAGTGAACTGTTGATTCGTTTGAATACAATTTAATCAAGCCGAATATTGGTAGAACCGGATTGCCATAAAGAACTTTTAAATGTGACGGTATATTTTCTTTGTAAACTGCTTGTTTTTTAATAATAATTCTTCTTGGTCACTATAATCGAATAATTGAATAACTGTTGCATGAATTTTGTCGCTTGACGAGATGAATGATTCGTTTTGAGGAGCATAGTTAATTTCAATGGACGCTGAGTGATACTGACATACCGAGCCAAAAAAATATTTCGGACATTGGCAGATGTAGGCATCAATCAGGCTGTGATGTTGATAGTTAACAAAGCATTTTCCACCGTTCTGACATGGATTTTGACCTGCATTCATATGACACTGCCGATCAAGATAACAGCCTGGACCGTATGAATTTATTGAACATATGCAGAATGGTTTTTCGCCATTTTGATCGTATCGCGAACGACATAACGACGTAGGAGAACAGTAATTCCTATAACGAATAATTGTTTAACAGAATGAGAAATGACGATTCATTCCTACAAACTAAACTCACATTTTTCTTGAATCGGTAACACAGGATTGGTCTTTGAATTGACAATTAGACCCATATGATCCATTTCTACATTCACACCAATATGATTGAGCATCATTAACTTTATTCATAAGTGGATGACATTTTCCTTCATTTAAGCATGGATTATTATTGGACAAGCACGTGTGATTTGTTTTAAGTTGTGATCGTTTAGTGTATTTCAACACTTTAGCGAGACGTTGTGATGGTAAAAAGTTAAATGGAACTGGATATATCCAGACCGCTAGAAATTCAATTGTCCTATCATCATTGAGTTGATATGCTTCGAAGTGAATTGCATACTTATTTATGTTTGACCGTAGCTGATGAGGTCTTGGATAGACAAAATAGAATTTATGTTTCTCATCAAAATTGTGAAGTGCTGGAGTGAAATGAAATTCATGATGCTCGAGAACGGTCGTTGTCTCGTTGACAGTTACAACAAATAGAGCTAGTATTTTGATGACAGATGTCGATAAGCTGCTATTCAAATCCTCTAAATGTGTGAATACTGTCAATCGATCACTCATGAACTGACACCACTCTCCGTAATAGCTCGGTGGACAGAAACATTNGAGTGATGATGCAAATATATCGGCGCTCAGAAGGGATTCCAAAGTGAAACTGAGCACTTGCGTGTTGTGTTGACAAATTGAACCAAAATGACATCGAGGACAAATACACAAATACTCACTCGATACATTTATCTCACCTTTAATACATCTGCCTTGTGCCAGACAATATTGGCATTGATCCCATTTTTGATTGTAACGAAGACACTGCGCGAGACTGTTGATGTTACACAAGCAGAAATAGTCATCGTCGTGAAAACATAATAACTGTGAACTCCTATTTGTGTTTTTGTTGCAGAGAGTGTGATATTTCAATACGACATTCGAGACTACAAAAAAGGACAGAAATAAACAAATGAATTTGATGCAGCATGTTGATTGGATGATAAAATGTCAACAATGCCATCATACCGACAGTGGGAATACTATTATGCATGAAATCCATCGGCTGATGGGCCAATGCATGGTCAGCCATCCGCTCACGGCCCCACAGTGAGAAGTCACAGCTTCAGATAGTCTATCGGCTATCAGTTGCATAATTCAGAATTCTGAAGACATAGCAACATTTTATTAAAATCACGGTGCACAGTTGACTTGCGTACCTAGTTGAGTTTGAATTCTGCTGATTCGAATAGAATTCTGCCAAAATACTGCTGGTATTTTTTTAATTCTAAGCAGAATTCTGTTGTTTGGGAGGGGATGCATTATATGTTCAGGGTGAAAAAATGAAAGCTGCTTGTTTTATTAGTTCAAATAATGATCCATATACTTCAAGAGATGCTCTGCCTGATTCCATTAAAGATTTTGTTACGAAATTTAACTAGAATGGAAAAATTACCGAGTTAGAAATTCGCCTGACATCAGTGGTATCAATAGGATGATTTATTTTTCACAAAACTGACGAGACTGATAAGTAAATTCAAGTCATATTCGGAATCTGTATACGATCCAGTAATTACCAAAACTATTTGATATTCGAACTTGTGACTGTTGAGAAAAAACATAAAAGTTGTTTGTAAGTAGTTTTCCAAACGGCAGTATTTGGTAAAGTGAGCGCGCGGCCCCTAGCAGACGCTTAAATTCAGTGAGACTTTGCTGAACGTTAATTAATATTAAGGAAACTCGATTCTCTGACCTTTCTTGAGATGTACGATCGTTTCTTGAATCTTCAATATCTCGAGAAGGGTACATTTCTTTTGACTGAAATTTTCAGAACATTCTAATGACCATAAAACCTGTTTATGGGCGCAATTTCGCCATTCGAGGTTCCATAAATCCATTGCCAGAAGCTGAAAATCCAGTAATCAGATCATAATTCGAGAAGGACAGCGTACGGGAATGAATTCATTTAGGCTTATTCTAGTCTCGACGAATCCTACTTATGCGTAAAATATAACCTAGATCGACGATTAAGAGTTGGATACTTTTCCTCGTTAGATATAGATTTTCCAAAAGACCATTATGTTCAAGGTATTTTTAATATGTTTTGATCCAGAAACGCTCTTAGTCAATAAGATAGGCATCTGCGGAATCATCGTATTAAACTGTATCGAAGGCTATACAGGGTGTTCCAGAAATTCGCTCGGAAATAAAACGTGAATAACTCTTAAACACTTGAAGCGATTGACATGAGCTTTTCATTATTTCATAGGAGGTCCTCTAAAGTTTTATTTCACATAATTTCATCTTCAACTGTTGTTCAAAGTGATCTTCGTCAACTGAAATACATGAATCTACTCTTGCGAAAATATTTTCAAAAACACAGTCTAAAACTTCTTTTAAAGTCGCCTTGGTCTTATCGTCGATTCTTATTTACATATCACCAAGGCGTTTTGCGCTGAAATTTATTTAAAAGACCTTATTGATATGTAAATAAGCATCGATGATGAGATCATGTGATTTTAAAAGAAGGTTTAGGCGGTGCTTTTTAAACATTTTTGAAAAGAATAGATTTATGTATTTCAGTTGATAAAGATCACGTTGAATAATCGTTGGAGATGAAATTATGTGAAATAAAACTTCAGAGAACTGCCTATGACATGATGAAAAGCTCATGTAAATCGCTTGAAGCGTTGAAGAGTTATTTACGTTTTATTTCTGAACGGATTTTTGGAACATCGTGTATAATACAAAACATTTTATAAAAAAAAATTTTCTCGAGAAAACGTGGACAAGGGTTCCCTCGTGTATTTTTCGCCGAATTGTTTTTTCAATAAACGTTTTTTCTTAAGGGTAATTTTCTGCGTCATACAGAATTATTTAGCAGCAAAAGAAGTTCGTTGCAGGATAAGAAAGTCATATGTCTGCTTGCCATACGAAAAATGCACCTTGTGTCCGCGGGGTAGAGTAGAAAATGTACAGAGTGTGTGCATATTTATACTCTGCTGGATGACTATGCCTACAGAGTTCTAAATTTTGATAGAGAGAATTCTGCAGGCGCTCATGCTTACTTGAATGTGTCCCGTTGTACAGCTGGATCACTTTATGTGTATGCGGACAATAGTTCTGTGCGCTGAATGTTAGAGTAAGATTGAGGGATGATGTGGCAGTTGAACTACTGTACAGCAGATGATAGTGAACTGTTGATTTGTTTGAATACAATTTAATCAAGCCGAATATTGGCAGTAACGCACTGCTATAAAGAATTTTCGAATGTGACGGTATATTTTCTTTGTAAACTGCTTGTTTTTTTAATAATAATTCCTCTTGGTCACTATAATCGAATAATTGAATAACTGTTGCATGAATTTTGTCGTCTGACGAGATGAATGATTCGTTTTGAGGAGCATAGCTAATTTCAATGGACGCTGAGTGATATTGACACGCCGAACCAAAATAATACTTCGGACACTGACAGATGCAGGCATCAATTAGGCTGTGATGTTGATAGTTAACAAGGCATTTTCCACCGTTCTGGCATGGGTTTCGACCTGCATTCATATGAAACTGCCGATCAAGATAACAGCCGGGGCCGTATGAATTTATCGAACATATGCAGAACGGTTTTTTGCCATTTTGATCATACCGCGGACGACATAACGACGTAGGAGAACAGTAATTCCTGTAACGAATAGTTGTTTAACAGAATAAGAAATGACGATTCATTCCTACAAACTAAACTCACATTTTTCTTGAATCTGTACCACACGATTGGTCTTTGGATTCACAATTAGACCCATATGATCCATTTCTACATTCACACCAATATGATTGAGTATCATTAACTTTATTCATAATTGGACGACATTTTCCTCCATTTAAGCATGGATTATTATTGGACAAGCACGTGTGATTTGCTTGAAGTTGTGGTCGTTTAGTGTATTTCAATACTTTAGCGAGGCGTTGTGATGGTAAAAAGTTAAATGGAACTGGATATATCCAGACTGCTAAAAATTCAATTGTCATATCATCATTGAGTTGATATGCTTCGAAGTGAATTGCATATTTATTTATGTTTGACCGTAGCTGATGAGGTCTTGGATAGACAAAATATAATTTATGTTTCTCATCAAGATTGTGAAGTGCTGGAGTGAAATGAAATTCATGATGCTCGAGAACGGTTGTTGTCTCGTTGACAGTTACAACAAATAGAGCTAGTATTTTGATGACAGATGTCGATAAGCTGCTATTCAAATCCTCTAAATGTGTGAATACTGTCAATCGATCACTCATGAACTGACACCACTCTCCNTGAGGTCTTGGATAGACAAAATAGAATTTATGTTTCTCATCAAAATTGTGAAGTGCTGGAGTGAAATGAAATTCATGATGCTCGAGAACGGTCGTTGTCTCGTTGACAGTTACAACAAATAGAGCTAGTATTTTGATGACAGATGTCGATAAGCTGCTATTCAAATCCTCTAAATGTGTGAATACTGTCAATCGATCACTCATGAACTGACACCACTCTCCGTAATAGCTCGGTGGACAGAAACATTGCTCCTGTGATTGATCAACATCAAATGTCTTTCTCCGTGCAAGCACACCACGATTGCATACCCAACCTTCTCTAGAATTCATCTGTGCGAGTTCTTGTCGAGGCGATGGTTTTCGTGGAATTGGTTGTTGAATAGCTGAAAAATCAACGAAAAGTAATAAATTCAGTGAAATATGCTACATGAAAGATTTTATATCATCGTGGTAATAAATCCACTCACCGATAATCGATGACTGCGGTTCTATTGTCGTATTATTACTATTGTTTTGCTCACGTCCGTTTGGAACAGATGGTGACGACGGATAATTTGGCAATTCTATTTTAATTGAAGCAGTTCGAAAAGAGAGGCTATACGGTCGATAGATTGTATATGCGATAGCACCTGGTCCTGTGGGACAGTAGAATTCATCTTCACCGAATTGACACTGTACCCGACCGTTACATTTTGAATCTGGTATACAGGTTCTGTTGAGACAGCGAACATCCCTGACTACTACAGTTTCATATTTGCCGTTATCACATCTTACATCTGTATCATTTAGCAAATGAAAACACAGGAAACGATCTCTACCATTTAGACATCTGTTTTCTGGAATACATTGTTCCCTCATTGAAATACATTTACTGTCTTTATCACATTTGAAATCAAATCCCAACTGATTCTGTGATGTGCAACTCAACAAATTTCGTTCGTCTAGCCCACCATAACAATCAATATAACCATCGCCCAATTGTGTTAGATTAATACATGGTCGATTCAATGTAAAATTCAATGCATCTTCCACATTAGCCAACAGACAAGGATATTCATAGTTAATGTCACATAAGCCGATGAATGGTCGCTGTGAATTTGCTTTCAAGCATTCATCTTTTTGTTCTTTCAAATTGGAGTTCCAACTTTGGAATAGTTTCAAGTTATGTTCACCGATAGTATGTTCTGTCAATAGTTGAAGTCCTTCTTCATCAGACCCATCTGAGCAATCCCATGCTCCATTGCACAACCAATCTTTTTGAATGCATTGACCGGTTTGACATTGATAATAAGTATCATTCGGAGGACATTTCCATTCATAACAGTCTATTTCATCTTTCCCATAATTCATATTCCAACGAGAATTGCAATATGACCAGAATTTGATTACTTTTTCCACATCTGC